CGATCACAAAGCTGCCAGCATCTCTCCCGCTGTTACCTCTCCCTAGTCCAAACACACATCTTTAGATACCTGTCAGCGTTTATTATGTTATCCTCTGTCGCGCCACAGATAAGGCCAGTTAAAGTTTAATGAAATTCAGCTTGGTTACGCAGGCCCGCCTTTCATAATTTGTCACAGCCTGTGTGCTGGAGACCCACTGCTCAGTAAACACAGCGCTTACATTACCAACCATTAGGGTCTAAATGGTGTGGTCCCGTATGCAGGGCTAGCAACACAGCGCACCGCTGCTAGGGGCTGGGGCATTACTCTGTTGCCCTGCATGTAAACGCAGCTCTCTGTAACAAACATTGTAGGCGTGTGAGTGAATATTAGTTGGAAATACTTTTTACTACACACCTTTCTGTAATACTTCCTGCTGACTGGTCAATCGCAGCATTCTCCATATTATTGTATAATAATCACTGAACTGTCTAATTGACCGTTGTCCCAGGCAAGCATTTCTCTACACAGCTGTGCCCGGTGAACTCAGTGGACTGTCTTTCTTCTCTTTTAATAGCATAGTGGAATCAACATTTTATTTTTATTGTAATTTTTTAATTATTAAATAGCCATATAATAACATCTTTTATTATAGTACAAGACACATGATGACTCTATATATTATCTATACATTACATAAGCAAAACCTATATATATATATATTTATTTACTTTATATACTGTATGACTATCTACTACTTGTACTAAATGTTTTTTATTCTCTGTTAAATATCTAAACATTGGATGACTGGACAAACCCCTGTAGCTTGTGCATAGCACTGTGTTGTACACAGTTTGTGCAGGTAATGTGTGTTTGTGTACAATCAATAGCCATATTGATGATAAGGTCGAGCTCAAGTGAGAAAACTGAAACTGGATGCTGCTCAGATGGCCTCGGTGAGTGGTTATCTCCAGAGATTATTAAGCTCCAAGGGAAATGACTAGCTTGTCTTAGTAAAGGGCTGAGGTCAGGCCTGGTGTGTCCCCTCTCAGGCGCAGGGCTTCTTATCCCTGAGTAGCCTCTGTCAATATGACAGCTGGAGCTAACTACTCTGTACATTAGGTTCAGTGGTTGAAACACTTCAGCACAGCTGTATCTGCTGGGGAAAAAAGTTATTTGCCTGATAAAATTTGTTATTGCAAATCCCCTTGATCCCCTTTCCAAAAAAAAAAAAAAAGAATAAATAAATAAACAAATAAAATACATACATACACAAACAAATAAATAAAATAAGGTTTAAGTTTGTTTGTAGGACTACATAATTTGGCCACAAGTTTGTGACTGTATATCAAATTGGCTATAATAATAATTTGCTAAATAAAAATATAAAGTAAACAAAAAAATTTATTTACAATAGTGTGTGTGTGTGTGTGTGTGTGTGTGTGTGTATATATATATATATATATAAAAATATGGGAAATATAATAATTTATTCTACAATACAACAGTGAAATGACAATACTATAATCTATGGCTGTATTTATTTCATTTTCAAATGTTAAAGTGTTGAATTTTTAGCATATTCCCTGTCACACACATACTCAGCCAGAAACTAATAATAATAATAATTGTTATCATTATTATTATCATTACTAAATAAAATTATAAGCTGAACTAAAAAAAAAGAACTAAATATTACAATATTATATTGTATGTATTATATGTATGTAATAATATTTCTATTGTAATATTTCACTTGAAAAAATTAGTATTTAAGAAAAATAGTATGATAATATTGCATTGAATACTAATATTTATGGCCGTCTTAGTTTTCAAACGTTAAACCACCAAAATGTATTTTAATGGAAAACCGCAGGGAGCCCTTAAAGATTCCTTTTTGTTGATAAGCGCTTCTCATTACAAGTATGGGAAGATGTTTGGAGCATTTTGCGTTCACAAAGAGTCCGTGCCATGCTATAAAACATGCAGTGCATATATTTATTTAATTAAATTGCAGCCTTTGTGTTTTGATAATTGCACTAAGCCATATCACGTTTTCGGTTTTATTTTCGATTAATTGTGCAGCTGTATCACAGTTAGAAGACCATGGTGAGTGCCACTGATCAGAATTTTCAATATTTGTTTACAGTAAATTATGAAATAAGCATCAATTAGTGACTTTTTTTCTGTTTTCTAATTGAACAAATCTAGTTCCAAAACAATAGGTCCTCTTGCCAGCATGACCCAGCTAAAAAATATGGAAGCTACGCAATAACAAACACTTATTACCATGGGACAAGCATCTTTTCTTTCACACACGCACATGCACAGCCAGAAATAATAAATAAGTATAATAATAATAATAATAAAGGCTAAAACCCTCATGCCACAAGAATAAACAAACAGCATTAAGGAGTTTCTCCCCATCTGGTTCGTCCAAAGCCATACAAATACAGACTCACTTGAAGCTTTGAGAGAAAATTGTCTTTCTTTCTCACACTTGCTCTCATGCGGGGGACAGGAGCCACACACATACACTCGCACACCCAAAAGCGAGCTGCACGGCAGGCTGTAATCAGTGGCTCTATGACAGTGGGGGGAGGCAGGCTGGTGGGGGAGACAGAGGGACAGGAGTGATAACAGATTGAGCGACTCTGATAAACTCTCCTTTAATGGCTCTGCCTGTCCCCCCTCGCCTCTTTTTTTTCTCCAGCACCTATTTAGTGGAGTCTTTCTCTGCTGCAGGGATTAGGCTGCTGGATAAGGGCAAGTAAACATGGGCTGCTTCTCTGAGCAAGCAATGGAGAGACAGAGAGAGGGGAAGAAAGGGAAGGGAGTAGAGGAGAGGGAGAGGGAGGGAAAGTGAGAATGCTAGAAAGAACGAGAGTTTGGTGAGAGGTAAAGAAGCAGAGCAGGAGAGCAGGAAGAGGATTTTCTAGTGGATGAAATCAGTCACGGCAAAAGAGAGTGCGGCTAAGAGGAAATTGGAGTTGGGGATTTTCACCTAACTAATGTTTTCTGCAGAAATCAGTTTGTTACATGATGATTTTTTTTCTTAATTTTTCCATTTGTGACCCTGGACCACAAAACCAGTCATAAGGGTACATTTTTCGAAATTGAGATTTATACATCATCTGAAAGCTGAATAAATAAGCTTTCCATTGATGTATTGATATATGTAGGACAATATTTGGCCGAGATACAACTATTTGAAAATCTGGAATCTGAGGGTGCAAAACAAATCTAAATATTGAGAAAATTGCCTTTAAAGTTGTCCAAATGACGTTCTTAGCAATGCATATTACTAATTAAAAATTCAGTTTTGATATATTTACAGTAGAAAATTTACAAAATATCTTCATGGAACATGATCTTTACTTAATATCCTAATGATTTTTGGCATAAAAGAAAAATCAATAATTTGGACCCATACAATGTATTTTTGGCTATTGCTACAAATATACCCCAGCGACTTAAGACTGCTTTTGTGCTCCAGGGTCACATTTGTTTGGTGTATTTTGGAGCTATTCGGAAGTGTTGCCATATCTCCATTGGGAATATAGTTAATGCAATTCCCGGCGGTGTCAAAAAGGAACCTAATTGTGTGTGTTTAGCACTGGGGCACGACACACAAACCCAAACACACACAAACTCGCATGCAGACAGCAATGCAAACACGGATTACTGTGATGTCTTAATCACGGTGTGGCAGGCAGGCAGACAGACAGGTTGCGTCGTCTTTGCTGAGTTCCTAGAAAAGCATTTCAAGTACAGGATACACTGATGACACTTTTGAAGGGGTGAGATAAAGATAGCAAACTGATGGCAACTGCTTGAATCATTTTGTAATTAAAGACAACACTATTACCCTTATTGCATTTTATAGTCACAATAGTAACCAAACAAAAAACAAACTTTGATTGTTGATTATGGAATTGCTGTGGAATAAATTGCAAAGTTATTAGAACGTACAGAATTAAGCAGATCCTGAATGGCTGGACTATAAACGGCTTTGAACTGGGCTAATCATGATATCTATTAGATAAGCTTTTAATCAGCCACCTGCCTAATTGCATAATCAAATCAGCAACCTCTCTAAAAGAAGGTGATGCATGGATAGCAGTCTGGTGCTCTTTCTAAATCTTCGCTTTCCGAAGGTGAATGTAAACCAAAAATGCATCATCTGAGACCTGTCAAGTAAGCCACATGGTCTGCAAATCACAACATTTACACATGCATTCATCCATACATGTGTTTACATCAGCAACTGTATCTTTAGGGCAAAGTGGTAATGGCATGTTGTTAATATGATTTATTTGTCTCTGTCTTCTGTTAGGCTAATAATATCTGATATTAAAATACACCCTTTTTTATTCTCAAATAAATAAATTCTGGTTACACCTACAGATTTAATAAGTGTTTCTATTTTTCTGCTTTATTTTTAATGTACGAGCAGGTACAACTGCACTGGTTTGTAGCGCAAATAGTTTTACTATTTACTGCGCTTACTGTTACTGTTATACTTCATGTTATTTTCCTGTAGCAGCTAATACATCGCAAGTTGCACATTGTCTTGCTTCCGTGTTGCATAACTTAATTTATGTAATTATTGCTAAAGCAATGCAGAATAAGGCCACATTTATTGTGCAATATATACAGTATAACCATAGTAGTACGGTTCACCACTACAGTGAAATATTTCAAGTGTGTATAAAATATCCATACATTATACAGTACATATAAACATGGAGAGAAAAACGTTTGGGTAGTCAGTGTTGTGGGATAAAAATGACTTAAAAATGACTAAAAGAGAGATTTTAGGACTAGGAATGCACTTGATTATGCTGTATACTGATGACTGTATTGTGCGTCCAATACGATATTCAGGATTTGTCTCTCAGTGAACACAGTGCGGCATCAAGCTGCAATCAGCCCTCTTCAGCTGAGTCTGATTGTGGTCAGCTGCCATGAGTAGGCCTTAAACAAACACCTTGTGTGCTGTCATTGTTGGCCTGTGCGTTTCAGCACGAGGCTGGGCCACCACAGCCAAGTGTTTCAATTCCTGAAGAGCTTCCAGAAGAAATTAGTATGTAATGACCGCACTCTGCAAGAAGAAAGGCCCATTATGGCTCTCGCTGACTGTACTTGGCTTTCATTTGCAAGCTAAATGGATGCGTGCGAAGGTGAGAGTTCACTAGCCGTTCAAGTATTTGGCTTTAACAGGCTCCAGCACTCTTGCTTTAATTCAAGCAGAAGGACAAGTATGAATAATCGCTCTAGATAAGACTCATCAAAACACGGTTCCAGCGCCTGCCTGCCTTTTTTTTTTAAACCCCCTTGCCTCTTTCTCGTCTCCCTCCTCCGCGTCCAAATGGACAGCGAAGCCCGGTGACAAAATGCACTTCACGTTGTGTCTTTTAATTTGTTAGCTGTTTGCTGTTGTTAACAGAACCCAGTATGATTTTGATGGACTTTTCTGAATATTGAAGTTTGCTGTAGTTGTGCAGTGATTTTGGTAGAAAACACAATAGCCCCTATAAATGTAATGCGATTGTCACCTGATGCTAATACATGAGCGGCGTTCCCCCCTCCTCCATCAGACAACCCACACTCCCTGTAGCATATATAGCCCTCCTAAATGATGTGTGTGTGGCCAATTTGTAGAGAATGGCTGTGTAAGAGATGTCTCTTTGTTAGCCCATAATAACCAAGGACGGAATGTTTTATTTAGATACATGAGGGTGCACAGCCAAAAGCGCTAATTCGTGGCCCCGAGGGTGTTCATTTCACGTAATGTATGCACAGGCTAATTTATAACACTGTGACTAATTTCCATTTCTTGTGCTTGGAGTTGCCTTGCTAATTACGGGATTTTTTTTCTTTGGTCATTTTTTCTCGACTCTTCTTTCATAATTACAGCTCAGCATTCAGGGAAGGAACTGTTGCAAATGAGATGGGCCTCGCCGTGTTGGGTGACTGATGCACTCCTACGTCCAGGTGAGCCCAAATCCCTGACAAGAGCCACCGTTTCACCCCCATCTGCTCCAGTC